GCAGCCTCGCCTCTCCGGAGGAGCTCACTCGATGGAGGACTGTGTCCAGATCTTCTCAACGATCGTTGAGCCCCTTCTCAACGATCGTTGAGCCCCACACTGAATCCAGTGGGGACACTCAACAAAGTATGAAGAGTTCGCAAAGAATTGCACTGAGAGGCCAGAGGAACAAATGTCATAGTGAACACACGCAAACAACAACAACCGCCATTAGCCACTAAGTGGCGGTGACGTCACCACGACACTTGTGCCAGGCTATGTGCACCTTGAGGCCACACACACACAAGCACAGGTTGAGAGACACAGTCTCGGCCGTGAGGAGACGTTGGCGGGCTACGTTATGTTGTACGCATGTTGAACTTCTTTCGCACCGTACGTGGGCAGCCGTGCTAATCGTTTGAGTTCGAGGCACGTCGAGACTAACCCACAGCCATACAAAGACACAAATCCCCCGTGTATATCCTTAAAAGACTGTTGGGGCAAGTGCATATGCTCTCCATGTTACATATACTTCATTCATGTGTTGTATGAAATGAGTATGTGTCTGCCTTCACATGCGTGCTCCCCGCACCTCCGATTAGCACGGTTGGCTACGTACGGTGCGACCGAAGTTCACCACACACCACAGACTGCGACACTGCGTGGGAAACGAGATGGGTGCTTTAATCGCGACTACTGAAGCCAGTGGTGCCTCCGTTGACTTGCAGCCAATGCACGTGACATAATATATAAATACGAGCTTTTTGCCCGTCCAAGGGACGGGTGTATTGCAGTAAATCTGAAACTTGCAAGCGTAAAGGAGACCGCGACGTGATTTTCACTGCATCCATTGTAAGGCCGCGGTGGCACAGACCTATTTAATGTTAAGGGTTATAATCCCTTGTTCATCACGACGTCCTTTTTACTCCGATGTCTCAACAGCGCTACGGAGATCACGTGACGTGAGGGTTCTGCCTTTGTAGTGAGGGTGAGATCACGTGACGTGAGGGTTCTGTCTTTGTAGTGAGGGTGAGACCACGTGACGTGAGGGTTCTGTCTTTGTAGTGAGGGTTGTGAGTTGACGCTGAGGAGGGGGGAGGAGGCGCCTCGACCCCCCCCCCCTCCCATGTGGAGTGACGTCAGCCGCTAATTAATATTAATGGCGCGGGGGTGTCCATTTGGAAGACGTCACCTCTTCATGATTTATTAATGTGGGGGGCTGGCCGACGTGGAGTGACGTCACCCGCTCATGATTATTAATGAGGGGGGAGTGCTACATGTGGAGGACGTCACCTGTTCATGATTTATTAATGTGGGGGGCTGTTCGATGTGGAGGACGTCACCTGTTCATTAGTATTAATGAGGGGGGGGGGTGCTACATGTGGAGGACGTCACCTGTTCATGATTTATTAATGTGGGGGGCTGTTCGATGTGGAGGACGTCACCTGTTCATTAGTATTAATGAGGAGGGGGGGTGCTACATGTGGAGGACGTCACCTGTTCATGAGTATTAATGTGGGGGGCTGGCCGACGTGGAGTGACGTCACGCGCGAGACACAGACATTCTTGGCTCATTATAGTAGTAAATGTCTTGTACACGCATGCTATGGCAGCAGGTTGTAATTGTTGCTTATCACGTAGGGGGTGTTTATCTGCCCCCTTGAAGTCATTAACTCCCGATGGCATCCGTGCTGTCAGCTTCCTGCCGCCTGTCCAAGTCCGTGCTCAACGCATTGCTCCTGGTCCTCATATTTTCTCTCCGTACATATAATGTCATATTATAATACACATTGTGAGTTATACATTGGCAACAGTATCATTTTTATCGTGACTAAATTACAAATACAATTATAATACATCATGCACGATGTCAAATAACCGTTTGTCGTTGCACTGCTGGATATTAATGGCTTATCCAAGCTGTGTGGGTCGCGAGGGTCGTTGGACCATACTTCCCCATTGGACCGTACTTCAGCATTCTAGTCAATTCGCGTTAGTCGAGGGGGCACCCAAGACCCGTTCAGATTTCACTCGCCACTGACATTATCCGTGGCCGAGTATCCAACTCAAGTGGCCCCGGTTCGTAGCGCGGAGGGCTGACCACTGCACAGCGCCTCTCTCCTCGCCCACCCAAGCAGACTTGGGCAGGACGCGTCGCTTCGTCGGGACGACGGCCACGTGCTCGAGACGAACCCACGGGAGTCGGTGGCGGCAGCCACAGGGAAGGTGAACGCGCCAGAGCGGACGTCGCGACCGCGCGCGTGCAAACTGCTGCTGCTGCTGCTACGCGGAGTGTTCCCATCGCCACCCGGGCAGGTGCTGCAAATCGGCCACCCATCTCGGTCGCTGAACACTCGAGGCGACCTCAACAGCGAGCGCGCCTCAGCTGGCACGAGCGCGCTGCGGCGGCGTCGCCGTCGCTCGAAGTGGCGGATTACGACCGCTGCTGATGATGATGTTGTTGTTGTTGAATCGCGGGACGTGAGACGTGGCGACGGCTAGGGTGGGGGGAGGGGGGTCCCTCTTCATCCAGTAGTTGATTGAGCACGGCTGATGGCGATGATGATATCAGTTTGTGTAAATGTGGAGTTTCCCAAGACGGGTATATATTGCCCCTTACACGTTGTGTCGTGGTGGCTAGGTACGTGGACACGGTGTCGAGATGTTAATTCCTTCGCCTGGCAGACAGGAGGTCGTGGGTTTGATCCCGACCCTGACGCCTGCTGTATACTTGGAGTTTGCGTATTTCTTTCCCCGTGGTCGCGTGGATTTTTCTCCGGTTCCTCCAGTTTTTACCCTTCACATTTCTAAACAACGCGTTCGGAGTATTTGGCTGCTATAAATTATTTCCACGCGATAAGCCACTTCGCTGAGCTCTCATTTGTGGCCAGGTCGCTTCTGAAAACGAGCTACATAGCTCAGTGAGCCTTACCTGGTAAAATAAATATAGTTTGGTGCGTTTTGTTGTTGTTGTTAGGTTTTGCTCCAGCAACTACCAAGCCGAGGGTGGGTGGATCACACGCACAGGAGACGGCGCTACGGCACACGTGGACTAATCTCCATCCGTTTCCATCTGTACGGGGATTACAGTGTTTCCCCCTCGTGGGGTTTCTCCGGGTGCTCCGGTTTCCTCCCCACGTGTATCGTAACAATGATACGCATGAAAACATATTAAAAATAAGCAGAAGGACCCTCCTGAAAAAGAGTCTCGCGACTCTCGCGGATAAACAAGTAAACAATTATTGTTGTTGTTATAGTCACAGTACACCTGCACGCGCGTAGCTTACACCTGTGGTGGTGGTGGTGGTGGTGGTGGCGATGGCGACGATGAAGGTGGTGCTGTTTGCTGCTGCTGTCGTGCGATTGTTAGAACGCTTGATTTGCAACGCTTACGTGTCGCCGGTTCGATCTCCTGGCGCGGCAGTTGTTCACCAGGACGTATGAGCGGAGTGTATGTATCGCTAGGTTGCGCGCGGTGGGGTAAATCGTGGATTCTGTCACCTGTGTGCAAGAGGGGGTGGGTGGCCAGCACCACGCCCGACCGCCTTTGTCTCCCTAGTGGCAATGTTTACACACCGCACCAGGTTCTCATTTGAGGCTGAGTCGACCTAGGGGAGGCCCGGGACTGGTTCAGATAATCGTCACTGGTGTTGGCCGTGAGCGGGAATCGAACGCGGGTCGCCAGGTTCATAGCGCAGCGCGCTAACCGCTACACTATCGCTCCCCACATACACACACACATACACACACATACAAAGATAAAACAAGATCCCCCATTATAGCCTTAACAGACTGTAGGGGCAAGTGCTGTTAGCGAGCACCTATGAAGGCCGGAACGGTACACGAGGGGGTGGGTGGCCAACACCACGCCCGACACATACATACACACATACACACACATACACACACATACACACACACACATACACACACATACACACACATACAACAACAACCGCCATTCGCCGCTAAGTTGCGGTGACGTCACCACGACGCTTGTGCCAGGCCATGTGCACCTTGAGGCCACGTGAAGTGTCGAACGCCCGCTGGCAGGAGGTCATGGGGCAGACCCAGGTGCCACGGGTCGACTGACTAAGATGACTGAGATGACTGGCTGATGCACCACCTGTGCCCCCCTACTGTGCCAACACATGCACACACATACACACACATAAACACATACACACACATACACACACATAAACACGAACGTGCACACACATACACACACATACACGCACACACACATACACACACATACACACGAACGTGCACACATACACACGAACGCGGGTCACCGACTTTGTAACGCGGTGTGCTAACGGCTATACACTGCCGCTCCACACGTAACTATACAGAGACAATGGTCACCCGTATAGCATTAACAGACTGGCGGGACAAGTGCAGTCACGGAGCACCATTTACAGACACCTACAAAACGCACAAGGACAGAGAATCCCCCGTGGAACTGGAAACTGGCGCAGACGCACACCTTGTAGGCACGTACGTTGAATTTATTTCGCACCGTACGTAGCCAACCGTGCTAATCGGAGGTGCGGAAGGACAACAAACGAAGCACGAAAAGCAGTTATAAAGACGTGAGTTTTCGATCTGGATTGGAAAGTGCCATGGATCCAGCGGCTTCCTAAGATCGGAAGGAAGAGCGTTCCAGACGGCCGTAGGAAGCGCATCTGAACGCGCGCGATGGTGCTGCGACGACCGCCTTTGTCCCATGGGCAGCCAAAAGCGGCAGCCGCTGCTGCTGCCGCTGCTGCTGCGAGCCTGGCCGTAGTCCGCGCCCACGGTGCCTCCTTGCCGAGATCAGCGAATGGTTTATTTATTTATTTGTGCGGTGCGGTGCGTGGCCAAACCGTGCCAACAAAAATACATTGGTGGGAGGGGGGGGGAGGCAAGCGCCGTTTTAACGAGCTGCAAAACCTTTGTTTTATTTTTTTAAAGCGCGTTCTAATCATCCGCTCTCGCTTGCGTTACCCCCCTGCCCTACCCCCCCCCGTTCGCAGGTTACAGCAGCAGACGGTGACCCACAGCGTGGCGCGCTTCCTGCCCGAGCGGGCCGAGTCGCCCGGCGAGCGAAGCCCCCCTTCGAGCTGGGGTCCCCGGGGCGGAGGCGGCGGGGTCGGCGGCGGCGGCTCGGCCGTGAGCCCGCGGCCCAGCCCCCGTGCCAGCCTGTCGGGTCTCAGCGAGAGAGACGAGGCCCTACCCTCGGCGGCGTCGAGGGCGGACAGCGACTCCAGCGAGCCCGACATCTGAGGCCGCGAGAAAGGGGCGCGCAAGGAGGGTGGTGGGAAGAAGAAGATAAAAAAGGACGCAGTCATGGGATGGGCGGGCGGGAAGGCGGTGGACTTGGTAGCCACGGGCTCCCATAGCGAAAGCTATACTGGATGTGGTATGCCGGGCACAGATTTTTTTTTTGGTTGCGAAGCTCGGACTGACCCGACTCAAATTATACCCTGCGCAGAGGAATGGACGTATGGGCGGGTGGGAGGGGCTGGGGGGGCACATATATATGTAATTATACTTATAATTGTTTAAAAACAACAACAAAAAACTACTGCATAATCGAAAGAGCAAACAGCTATAGGAAAGTTAAATATAATAGAAAATACGGACTCTCTCGCTCTTACGTACAGTATACATACAGAGAGAAGGGGGTGATGGGTGTGTAACCTCTCTCTGATTGGCCAAGGGTTGTGTATAAATTGAGGCTGGCGAAACCGGCAGTGATTGCGTACAGAAGATGAGAGCCTCGCCAAGATCTCTCTCTCCCTCTCTCTCTCTCTCGGTGTTCTGATCTGGATCCTCGGAAACACGGTGTCCACTATCTCAGCTGAAGCGGGCACCTCGACTTGACAGCAAGAATCATGATTTTGCTTTCTGGCAGTCACGTTTCATCATTTACACGGCACACACGCGCGCGCGCACCTATGACGTCTGTTGATATTCAACTACAATTGTTTATAGCAAACAATGCGACTGCGGGAGAAGAAGGAGACGCGATTAATGTAGACAAAAGGAAGAGGAGAGAGGAAGATGACAATACGATCCGTTGAATAGAACGGACAGTAGAACTATGTTATAATTGTAATGTGTCAGGACCTTACATCGTGTATGAGAGTATATATATATGGCTATGTGGTGTATGTTCCGCCCTATAGACTCTATTAGTGTTTGTGTCCATGAAAGAACTTTTGAGTCGTTCGTGAACGAAAGCTACCGAAGATTGATGCGAGCGACGGCCTCCCGAGACGTGAATGACTAAATGAATGAATGAATTTGGAATGTGTCAGAGGCGTCCTGCATGCAACCCCCGGTTTCGTTTTTAATATATATTCAGTATGACTACTCTACAAAACCTGTTACAATAATTGTTTATCTTTTCTTCTTTTATAAACCAATTGCTATGATTATAGTTGAGTTCTGTTTAATCTGGAAGACCTCCGTATGCATTATATCAGATGCGCACTGCGGCTTGTAACAGAATCACACATAAAGAATACGTGCATATGTTTACATGAGTATATGAGTCCGTCAACACTCATGCGTACATACATACACAATTATATATGTATATATACAAAGGCAAAGATTCCCTGCTGGGGCAAGTGCTGTAAGCAAGCAGCTATGAGGATCTGCACACGAGGTGGTGGGTGGTTACCACCACGCCCGGCCGCCTTTGTATCCCCAGTGACATATACATGCACGCACACATACAAATACACCTCTTACATACGTGCGCGTACATTTGCGTACTAAAATGCCCACTTAGAAATACACGAATAATTGTGATGTCAAATTATATACAGTCGTAATTGTTGTGTTGTACACATGTATTCACACATACACATACAAATATACATACACACACAAAGACAAAGATCCCCCGTATAGCATTTAACAGACTGTTGGGGCAAGTGCTGTTAGCGAGCACCTTATGAAGGCCAGCACCGTGGCAGACGAGGGGGTGGGTGGTCATCGCCATGCGGCGATGAATTCGCACATCGCACCAGGTACTCATTTCAGGTTGAGTCGACCTAGGAGAGGCCCATAACTGGTTCAGATTATCGTGACTGGTGTTGGTGGCCGTGAATGGGTCGCCGGGTTCGTAGCTGACTCCCACTATTCACATACACACGCACACACACGCACACACAATAACACCACAACTACACAAACACGCGCACGTACACATACATACATACATACAAAGACAAAGGTCACCCGTATAACCTTAACAAACTGTTCGGGCAAGTGCTGTTAACGAGCATCCATGAAGGAGATGGGTGGCACTATACACACAGAAACACAAGATACACGCCAGAACACACACGCGCGCGCACACGCTTACAGATACCACGCAACGGCACATAGAACATACACACGTGCATACACGCTCACACACGCAAAGACAAAGATCCCCCGTGTAGCCTTAACAGAGTGTTGGGGCAAGTGCCGTTAGCGAGCACCGATGAAGGCCGGCACGGCACACGAGGGGGTGGGTGGCCAACACCACGCTTGGCCGCCTTTGTCTCCCCAGTGACGATGTTTACACACCTCACCAGGTACTCATTTGAGGCTGAGTCGACCTAGGAGAGGCCCAGAACCGGTTCAGATAATCGTCACTGCTGTTGGCCGTGAGCGGGAATCGAACCCCATACGCAATACCACACATACACACAGCTCACACTGACACGCACAACGTCATCCACACGTAAGCTACACGCATATTGACACAATGGAGAAACGCATTCCCTACCCTTCTATGTTAAATGAAAAATTTGATCTGACGTAAGAAAACAAAAGCAAACTCCGCCCTTGTGTGTCTCCACGCTTGGCTACCCACACTCCCGTGATATCACCCAAGCTGCATTATTTTGTTTAACCAAGCAAACCCCACTCGTGTGGGTCCTATCAGCAGGGTACCATAACGGCGTTCAACTCTTTATTCATCCACGCTGTACAGCAGCAACAGGAGCAGCAGCAACAACAACAACAGCAGCAACAACAACAACAGCCACAACGCACAATGACTGCGTTAAACCTGCCGATGTGATTGGCTACGGGACGGTAGGGGATCTCTTGTGCCGTCACCGCAGCACGTGGACAGGTTGTCGTTCGCGAAGGGCGTACGACGTCGAGTCGAACTCAAGACGAATCGGCGTTGGTGCGATGGTGGCGGGGAGGGGTGGGTGTAAGACGCAGGAAGAAGCCCCCCCCCGGTGCCTCTGTTAGCAGTGTCTGTCGATGACGACACCACGAGGACTGCTCGTGTACACACAGACGCAGGCATTCACCATTCTCTTGTTTGGTCCGCTAAAGTTGATTCTCTCGCGTGAGTTAAAACCGTGTCCCTACCACCGTGTGTTGTGTTACAACAATAAAGCAGCATACGTTGGTAACCCCCAGCCCCCTTCTCTCCCCCCCCTACCACTGTTTTCTTGTTGTTGAATTAAGATGTGAGCTATCACGGTGGCGAGGAGATGTCAACTGCCTTGCGCCTGGTGTACAGGTGGTCGTGGGTTCGATCGCGAGTTTGCGGTGTCTCTCTCCCCGTGGTCGCGCGGATTTCTCTCTGGGTCCCTCCGGGTTTCCCCTCCACATTTAAAATCGACAACGCGCGTTTAGAGTGATGTGGCTGCTATACTTTTCCCACACGATAAGCCACTTTCGTTGAGCTTTCACTTGTGGCCAGGTCGCTTCTGAAAAAAGCTATATAGCTGAGTGGGCGTTACCTGGTAAAATACAAAAAAATAGTTTATCGGGTTTTTTTTACGGGTTAACAAATCGTGGATGGAGCGGTGGCCCAGTGGTTAGCACACTTGCTTTCAGGATACCTCGCGGTGCTCGCTACCACGTGTGTGGCGAGGGGCAGCGTCGTGGTTAGCGCGCTGCACTACAAACGCAGCGACCCCGAGGGTCGAATCCCGTCCACGACGGCTAACGTCAGTGATGAGTAATATCTGAACGGGATACCTGAGCCTCCCCTAGGTCGACTCAGCCTTAAATGAGTACCGAGTGCGATAAGTTAGCGTCGTCAAGAAGGAAGACAAATGCGGCTGGGCGTGGTGCTGGCCACCCACCATCGCGTGTGCCGTGCCGGCCTTAATAGGTGCTCACTAACAGCACTTGGCCCAACAGTCCATTAACGGTATACGGGGGATATTTATCTTTGTCTGTATATGTGTCTGTGTGTGTGTGCTACTGCGTAGTGGTTGGCCTAATGAGCAGTAATTACGGAAATAGAATAGATACTTGCGAAGAGCACTTGGCCCAACAGTCCATTAATGCTATACGGGGGATATTTGTCTATGCCTTTACTATATACATCTCGATATATATATATAAAGCATTGAGGATAGAACGGCAATACCAATTACAATTAAGACAACAACAAACGCCATTCGCCACTAAGTGGCGGTGACGTCACCACGACGCTTGTACCAGGCCATGTGCACCTTGAGGCCACGTGAAGTGTCGAACGCCCGCTGACAGGAGGTCACGGGGCAGACCCAGGTGCCACGGTTCGACTGACTAAGATGACTGGCTGATGCACCACCTGTGCCCCTACTGTGCCAACCTGCTGTGCTTTAGCCACCCGGCGCTCCGCTCGTTGTTGTGAGCGTCGCTCCTCCGCCCTCCGTTGTTGTTGGAGGGCGACTGCCTCCAACTGCCCAGTAGCGTCCTTCACGAGCCTCCTCCACAGAGGCCGATCTTGATACCGCTGGTACCAGTCATCGGCAAGTCCACTCAGCTCCACGTCCTCCTGTACCACATCACTCCATCTCTTCTCTAGCCCGTGCCGCGCCCGTTTAGCCCCCTCGATCCGGCTGAATAAAAGCTGTTTCGGCATGCGGTGGCTGGGCATGCGGGCAATTAAGACAAAGACAAAGATCCCCCATATAGCCTGTAACAGACTGTAGGGGCAAGTGCTGTTAGCGAGCACCTATGAAGGCCGGAACGGTACACGAGGGGGTGGGTGGCCAGCACCACGCCCGACCGCCTTTGTCTCCCTAGTGGCGATGTTTACACACCACACCAGGTACTCATTTGAGGCTGAGTCGACCTAGGGGAGGCCCGGGACCGGTTCAGATAATCGTCACTGGTGTTGGCCGTGAGCGGGAATCGAACCCGGGTCGCCAGGTTCATAGCGCAGCGCGCTAACCGCTACACTATCGCTCCCCACTATTAAGACAGCCACGTACACACACACACACGCGCGCGCGTACACGCCAGGTAATCTCTATTACTTGGACGTGTTTAACAAACATCGGGCGCGTGCGGCGTGCACCGACTCACATTTCCATCCGGTCGCACGCGTGCACACCATGCTTTGTGTGACGTTCACTCCCGAAACTCCAAAACGTTTTTTCCATAATAGAGGTGTTTTTTTTTGGGTTAGATCGCGTAAATATATAAACGTGTCGTTAAACCCGCCACCACCCGACACAGCCAACTAGTAAGGTTTGTCACGTGAACAGAACGTGGCGAATTCGTCACTAGCACAGCACCACCGGTGTGTTGGAGAGCCAGGCCACAACATTTACAATCTGAGTACGACGTTTCGCCAGTAATTACAACTAGCTGCATCAGGCGACAGCCAGATTTGTGGAGAAGTCCACCCTGTTTTGTTACGACCTCCCCAAAGATTCGGCGAGGAGGGAAAGCCGAGGACGTTGATGAAGAGAAGATGGAATACGTTGAGTGGACACTTGAATACGGTCGCGTCAGGCCGTTTCGGGATAATTCGCAACGTTCACGCTGACCTCTTGAACATTTCCAAGCCGGTCACCATCACCAGGCTTGTCGCGAGAATTCGGTACGGCCAATGTTTCACTCCCAAGATGTTCCATCTGTACGGAATAGCTCCTTGCCCTCTCGCAGGCGCGAGGGTTTTTTTCTTCTTTCTGGGTGCTTCGGTTTCCTCCCACATGTGTACATACTCTTGAATATTACTGTGGATGGGAAAAAAAGATCTTAACATATCGAGAACCGTGAAGCTTGGGACAATCGTTGGTAGCGCCGGTTGGCTGGCTGGCTGGCTGCTGCTGCCTTCCCCCGCTCGCCCGTGGCTCATCCTCCTCGCGCCTCCGACTCGTTCTCTCGTCTTCGAGAGTGAGCGAATACGGTGTATGGGAGGTGGGGGTGCTGCGGCGGTCGCCTGGCCATACAAGTCGGCCTCGGTGCGAAGAGGAGCGACGGTGCCATGGGGGTAAGGAGCACGCGCGCGAGAGCGTCCGTGTTGAGTGAACAAGAGAAGCGCAGTGGGATGTGGGTAGGATGCACGAAGCGGCTGCCCCCGTGCGTCAAGCTGGCGACGGAGCGGGTAGCCGACGGAGAGAACTTTGGGAGTTCGATGTTAGAATTCTGTAACAAACAAACAAACAACAACTCGATATATCGAGAGCCGCGATTCACTGCGGTGGTGGTGAATGCGGGACGGCGGCGGCCCTTAGTAAACAGCGGTCACGAAGCGGCCCTTAAAGAGCCGCACGCGGCTCGAGAGCCGCAGGCTGCCGACCCCTGAGCTAGACCGCTACCCCCCGCTCCTCTCCTTCCCCCCCCCCACACCACCACACCTCCATCCTGCGGAGATGGAGCGATAAGATCGCCTCGTGAGCTGGAGTGAGATCGATTGTGAGTGACATCGCAAGGGCCGTGAGAGGATGGCGACGGCGCGAGAAGGGACGCCTTCGTCAAAGCAGCTGCTGCTCCTGATGGTTTGTGGTGGTGATGATGGTGGTGATGATAGTGGTGGTAATGGTGGTGATGATGGTGGGGAGCGGTGGTGTAGCAGTTAACGCGCTGTGCTATGAACCCGGGATCCCGGGTTCCATTCCCGCTCACGGCCAACACCGGTGACGGT